GTCCAACAATAATTTTTAAAAGTGTTTTAAGTGTCAAGAGTTTAGACACATCACTTCGAATTTCCCTAACCAAAGGGTAATTAGTTTTGTGCAAGAGACCAAAGAGATTGAAAAAGAAATAGAGGTGGTTGATGATTCAGCCAAAGTAGAAAAAGAGGTCTATGTAGATTATATAGAGTTATTAAAAATTTAGAGAGCTCTTAATGTCGAGCGATTCAAAAAGAAGTTTTGTTAAGGTTAACATCTTTTGCACTCGATGCACATCTTATGGAAAGTATGTGAATTGATCATTGATGAGGGAAGTTATGAGAGCATGATATTAATGAATATTATATTTTCTTAGAGTAGCCATGACAATATGATAGACGTGTTTTGTATGGTGGATTTAAGAATACATACTCGTTTGATCTAGAAGGAGAGAAGGTTGTCAAGAATGAATATGATTATTTAATTCTTACAAGTCATGTATGTTGTCGAGGGAGGCTTAATGAAGTCGTTAAAAAAAAAGAGTTATAGAAAGGAGGAAAGTTGGACATTTTGCAATGGACCAACTTATTTCGAACGTACTATAAGAGAAAAATTAGCCCCTCCCGAGAATAATACATCTAAAGTATTGTTTGGTTATCAAGAATGGAGTAGTAATAATGAAAATAAAAGTTTTATTCTCACATTGTCGTAGTTTGGATGAAAAGAATAAAGTGAAAATGACAATGAATAATGAAAATAGAAATGAAAATTAAGCATAGTTTCATTCTTGTATGGAAGGTGAAAATAAAAATAAGGAATGAGAATTTTTTTTTTTTAAACAACGATATATTATTTTTATTTATATGTATCAATTATTTTTACCACCACCACAACCATCATCACCACCTCTATTGACGTAGTAATAAAAATTATTATTATTATTATTATTTCATTAATCACCACCACCATCACTTTTATTGATTGTGATGATAAAAAAATTTTCATAAAAATATTATTATTATTCCGTTACCATTTCTCCTTAATCACCATCATAACTTTTATTATACCACCACCACTAACACCATCACTCTTCTTCCACTAGTATCTCATAAGGTGATGTTATCAACTTTTTAAAATATATTATTATTATTATTACCACTTCCTTACCATCATCTTACTCTACCACCACTTCCACCACCACAATTATCTCTATTATTTTTATTACCATCATAGTTTATGAAATTATTATTTTAATAATTACTTTTATCCGTATTTAAAATCGGATATGAAAAAATTTAAATTTTATTATGATTTCTTATTATTATTCTAAATACGGTATGAGAATGCAAATTCCATTTTGATATCCTAATTTTCATTATGAATTTTACATTTTCATTCCAAACCTTTTATTTCTAGTGTTATCACCTAATTTTGCACCTTTTGTTTTACACTTTTTCCGGAAAAAAGATGAAAAAAAAATTTAATTAATTGAAGAGAAAAGGCTTTTTTGGTGCCCAACCTTTTTTTTTTTTTTTTGGTGCCTAATCGTTGATTTCTCATGGTTGGCTATTCAAGCTTTGATTTTTTACTTGTTTTGGCACTCGAGTTCACTCGAAGCTTGATTTTATTGACGTGTCCGGCGAGACTTGCCATATGATATTTTTACTATCACATGATAGTTTGCAATTGACACATTAGCAAGTAACAAAAATGTTGAAAACTAATCTGGTTCAGTTGAATTTAGTTTATTAACTAAACTAAACTAAAGAGAAAATGAGGATAAAAAAGAAAAAATTAACAAAACGATGTAAGTTAAACAAATCATTTAACTTACACCATTTTGATAATGTAAAAAAACAAAAAAAAGCTGATGTGATCAATATTGGAAATCAAAGAGACATTACAAGTATAAATGCACAAGAGAGAGAGGAGGAAAACCCTAAATTATTTTGGAAAATCTGAATAATTTTTTGTGAGATTGGATAGATTAAAATTCAAAAATGGATACAAAACGAGGAAAAAAAGCAATATCGAGGAAGGTTGGAAGCAAAAAATGTTTCAAACTAGAGAAACAAGGTAAGTTTTGTTGACAAAATGGATATTGAATCTTGGTTTTTTTATTTATTTGTCGAATGATACTTTTGATAATAATTGGCTTTTCATACTATGTCATGAGTCTGAATTAAATATATTTATTTTAATTTGATAACATATACTATACTATCGGTTAACTAAAATATATTAAATTAAAGATAAAAGATAAAAGATAAAATTTTATATAATTTTTAAGATATATTTTTTTTAAAATTTTATATTTTTTAATCAAAAATTTATATTTAATTTTTTTGTATGTTTTTAATAAATTTTGTTGTTAAAAAAACACAATTTTTTATTTCTTATATATTTTTCCTAAATAAAAACCCATGATAATCTAAATATAAAATTTTTAAAAATATCTTAATAATTCTTTCATATCATTACATCGAGAAAATAAAATAATAATTGATATAAAACCTTATATAAAAAAATAATGAATTAATACTTTTTATTCTTATTTAATACCGATGATGCGATTAATATTTTAAAAATATATACATTTGATTTATATTTATTTATTTATAAAATAATAAATATATTAGTAAGAAAAAGTTGTATTTGAATTATAAGGAAGTTCTTCTAAAATATTATTTTAATTAATTGATTTGATATAATTTAATTTTAAAAAATTAAAAAAAAAGGGTATGGTTGGTGTTATGTATATAGATATATAGTTAATTTTTAATAAAATTAATTATCTTAATTATCATACTCAATGGGTTAGAGTGTGCAGCATAAATTAAAAAATATTTTTTGAAAAATTTAAGTTGTAAGAAATATATCGAAGTTAATATAGTTCAATAAAAACAACTACAAAATTGATTTTGATAAAATTTGATCATATAAAGAATAAGCAAATAAAACAACTAAAAAAAAAACTTATTCAAAAATCCATACATAGAGGAAAAAAAATCATCTTTATTAAAAAATAAAATTACATAATATTTTTTTAGAAAAATTAGAAAACAAAATGCAATATTTGTCAAAACTTTCATATTAGATACCTAAATATAAGCCAAAAAATTACAAAAATATCATATCAAATACCTAAATAAAAATTAAAAATCACAATAATTCCATTTAATGCACTATATCAAATACCTAAATAAAATTTAAAAATTACAATAATACTATTTAATATAATAATATGAAATAAACAATGGTTATAAAGGTAGATAAATATTCAGTGAATAGTAAAATAAACGTGGATAAATAATAAGCATTAATTACTCCAAATCTTTTCAGTATTTTTATAATATTTATCTAAGATATAACAGTTCAATAATAAATTTTACTAAATTGATATATGTGTATGCCTTAATCTGCCACAAAGTCAATATTTGAAGAGCAAAAACTGCTCTTAAACCTGTTCTTTTTCCATGAGACTGCGGCCCCTCAAAAAAATGTCTTGCTCACGATATCTGAAAGTCTATCCTATTTGGTCTGTTTCTTTAAAACTTTTTAAAACTTTTTCATTTTGGTTTCTATATAAAATAAAATTATTAATTAGTAATTCTAATTTTTTTCTCCTACGATATATTTTCAACTTATTTATTATTTAACCCATAAAGATGAATTAGTTGCTCTGCTTTCCTTATAAACATCACACGTATATTTTTTATTTTCTTTTAAAAAATTAATTTGATCCCTGAAAAAAGTTTAGTTCATTTTCATCGTTGATAAAATTTTCTTAACTTAATTTAAGTGTTAATCTCTACCATCCCCAAAAAACAATTTGGCCTCGCTCTTCGGTCCTAAATCTGTCTTTACCAACTTATTGTAATCATTCTGTCTCAATAAAAACTGATTAGATGCAACGTTTTTTTCTTTAACAATAAAGATATTTTGGGACAAAATTTTTGAACATTGAGACTAAATCTCTCACATTCCGGATATTCAGCTAGTGTGAATCAATGGTGATTCGTAACAAAGATTTGTTTCAATCAATGCAAGCCCATTGTTTTTCGAGGGATGGTCATGCATTTTGGTCCAGATGAAGCAAAACAATGACTCAAGAAGGAAGTCCGGTGGCGGTGTACAATGGGCAGCCTTCGTGGTGCTGATTTTACAGGAGTGGCTGCCTCTCGCATTGGTATGTGTTCGTTTAATTGGTTTTAGCAGATAAAAGCCCCTTTGCATCCCCAGAAATTTGGTGTAATGCCGTTATTAATTGGTTTTGGTGATGTAATTGCATCCGTTTGTTCTTCTGATTTTCTTACAAATTTCGTTTCATATTGTCTGAAAACAGAGGGAGCATTAAAAGGATAATTTTGCCTTGAATTTTTGGTATTAGAGCAGATAACAAAATTTCTTGTCAAAATTTGCAATAGTAAGGTTCTGTTGATTACTCGTTAACTTACTGGGTACAATCGTTTCACCAGATACCGATTTTTAAGCAAACTAGATCAAAATTCGTTCAGAGCTGAGATAAGAACAGATTAACAGAGGAAATGGACTAGAAATGATTAATTCAAAGTCCAAGGAACCTTGTAAAAAATGGGGACAGCGATAATGGAAAAACTTTGGCTTACCACTTGCCTGGAGGCAATTTTCAGATAAAGGTTATGAGTGGATAGCAATTTTCAGATAAAAACAGCCAAAATATTACAATTAGCATTTCCAGGTGTCTTCAATGCAATCATTCATTGAGAAAAAACAAGGAAAAGTGAGCAGCTTTCTCAATTTTCACTGTTTCATATCTACAAGATTACCAATTTTGCAGCAATCAATTGTTAAAAAGTCTTTCCTTACAACTGCCCAACAAAGCTAAGAAATGCTGAAGTCATTATACCTTTTGTCCTGACAAGTCTAACTGGCACTTGTGATATTGCTGGAAAGATCAGATAGGTCTGCATCTAGTTTAGGAATCTAAGGTACCTACCCTTCAAGGATAAACAACAGATTTGTTCTTATAATTCTTCTCCTTGAAAAAGTCACTAATCACATAGATCAGAGATCACTTTCTTGCAATCCATAGTCCATCTATCCTTCTGCAGGCTCTGCCTTCCCGAATCCCTCGCCACAATCTTGCATAGATGCATATTCTCATCCTTACCCAGAAGCTTCGCCAATGGATTAAGCTCAATTCATGCATGAACACTAACTCAAATTTTTGGAGGAATGTGTTCAGCTGGACAAAGATTCTTTGGAGCATTTCTGATCCTTTTCAAAGAGCCTGCTGTTTCCACATCAAAGTAAAAGTGAGAATTATATTTGACCAAAGAAAACATTACATTGAATTTTGGGTAACAGAAACAGTAGTAATCATAGGTGTGCTTAAGCTATGATTGAATAGCCCCTTGAGGACTAAAAAGTTGCAAAAAATATTACAGATTACAGAAGTCAACACAATATCCAGCAAACCAAGGATGGTAAGAACACAAGCAAGATCTCCAGCAAGTACATAGCGTAATCTCATAAGCTTTGAAACACACAAAAGAGGTACTCTAGATAAGAGATCTATGGCTAAACCCAACTGTATTGTTGAACTTCTTAGACCAATGATTCCCACATAGATTTCATCTTATACTAGGAAAAAGTTATCAAAAAGATTAACTTTTGGGAATTTGAAGAAAGTTCACAGCGTCATTAATCTATAAAGACGCTGCCATCTCCAACATCTTACCAAATTCAAAGTTATGCATTCAATCACTTTTACAAAAAATCTGAAAAAACCCCAACTTAAATTAACAGAATTGCAAAAAGGCCAAAGCAAAATTACCTTTCTTAGGACCGAGGCAGTCCTATTCTTCTTTGAAGACATCAGGCACACTATATCAACAACTTTTCAACTCTGTTCATGAAGTTGGACAGGGGAAAGTGGTGGGGGCAAAAACAAAGATGTGACGGTTGAGAATGGCTTCAATCTGCTTTCTCTCTGGGCTTTGATTTCGTACTTTTATTCTTGCTTTAAAGAGCCCTCTACGTAATTATGTTGGCCTTTTGTCTAAGATTTTTATAGTATTGGTACCAAGGGAATCCAGCTAGAGCAGCTCATAGGGCGAGTCTGGCATCTATTTTAAGTACTGCTCTATAATTTTGCATGTGGTTGTTGTCTTGATTTTCAAGCATGTATCATTTCTCAAAGTTTGCAAACAGGAGGAGCATGAAAAGGATTGAAGCTGAGATGGTTGAGATTAGCAAGGGACAAAAACGCATAAGAGAAGGACAAAAAGAAGTAAGGGAAAAATTTGAAGAAATAAGAAAAGCGTGACAGTAATTAAGAAAGCAAACCAATGTAATCTCCCTCTTTTAGTTTCCTCTGATCTTGATGAACCTAAGAGTGGGAGATTAGATTAGTTTGCTCTCCTAATTACTCCCATTCTTTTCTTACTCCTTCAAATTTTTCCCTTACTCCCTTTTGTCCTTCTCTTATGCGCTTTTGTTCCCTGCTAATCTCAAACATGTCAGCTTCTGTCCCTTTCATGTGCATTGGCCATTTCTCGTTTCTGTTTGCAAGGCTAAGAAATGATACTGTTGCATGTTAGAAATTCAAAAACAACAACAACAAAATGCAAATTAACTACATCAGAAAGAACAATCAGTAATGCACCAGTTGAAATTAGGAAATTATACCAGTCTCTCTCTTTGAGACGCTCTTGCTGGATTCTCTTTCCCAACTAGTTTGAATCCATGTTGCTTATCTTATCCTGTATGATACTAAATCAATGCTTGCAAAGAACTGGTGTGGAGGGATTCGAGCCTCCCTGCTTTTTAAAGGCAAAAGGAGTCGGTGTCAAAGCTTTCTTTAGGTTGGCAAACCGAGAAACGACCAATCAATCATGATAATGACGTTTTGGCTAGCTACACCTACGAAGTTCGGTTCTCAAATGTATCCGTGTATTATTTCAAGTTTCATATGCCCAAAACAATATAATAGACTTATATCCATTGTTTTTTCTTGACATAAATTTTTTTTGTACAATTTTTATATTTTTTCACTCATGGAGAATAATTTTTACATTATTCATTTGTTAAAATAATTTCAGTATATCATTTTTTTTTATTTGGAACTTTTCACTAGTTTATTAGGCTCATAGAATAATGGGTTACACACACTGTTCCTTAATGTTTTTTTAAAGTTTATATCTCATTTATCTTAATTCTAACAAAAATCATATATGTTTGTTTAAGTTTATATCTCGTTTATTTTAATTCTAACAAAAATCATAATTATTTTGACAACTTTTTAAAAAATTAGTTGTGTTTCACCACTGCATAATAAACACACCGATCACCACAAAAGGAATTAATTTATTATTTTTTATTAATTTGTAATTCACATTTCCAAAAATTTTAAACCATATTAGATCAAACAAAGGATGAACAACAAAAGAATACTGTATATTATGGTATCTTATCCATCCTGTGATTTGCTGTAGATTCAAGCGGACGTATCACGTATGTGTTTTTTTCTTCTTTTTACTTTTTGATGGATCCAAGCAGCCAACGAAATAAGAATATAGGTGCGAATCCAAATACACGGTCTTTGTAGGAGCATGATTCTGACAATAAAAGGACTGACCTCATGGATTGCGAATTACTTGAGTCCTTGACATGTTTTTATAAAAATGTTGGTGCTTGCTGCTAATGTACGCTACGATTCCCATATTCGGAACTCGTTTCACATTATGACTAACAAATAATAATAGTGAATTTTGTTTGGCCTTTTGACTGAAAAGGATTTTTTTTTCCTAAATCCAAACGACATGGAAGTTTCCTAGAAAAGTGGTGGTAGCGTGCGACCCGATCGCAACCTTGCATTGGCCTAATACTCAAAAAGAAAACTGATGGCTGAGATTAGCGTTCGGCCATTTGGTCGATGCTTGCTGTCCCAAGTACGTTTACTTCTTCAAGTCGTTGTATGCGACGTGTGGATAGACAGATCTAGAAGGTTCTTTCTCTCTCCCCTTTCTTTTTCTTTTTTTTTTCTTATTTATCAATAAAAATATTTTTAAATCAATTTATGTTTCAATTAAAATAAATTTTATTTTAAGACGATTTTAAAAATAATTTTTTACATCGATCTAATACTCAAAAAAGAAAATTAATAAATTTTGTAAATACTGTCACAAAATCTGAATTCAAAAAATCAAGAAAGAGAATAACACCATTAGGCAAAACTTTTTTCTTTCTTTTTTTACTAGGTTCCCAATAATGCACTCAGGGATTGTCATATTTCTTGCATTTGAAATTGTAATTCGTTGATAATATAATAGATATTTTTTTTAGTATAGATATTAAATTAGCTTACCGATTATATAAATTTAAACTCATCTGTAATGCATATATTCAAAATTCAAAAATGATACTAGAAAGTCTTAAAATACAAATTAAGACCCAAAAAAAAATAATAATAATCAATTGTAAAGAAATTCATATTAACAAAAATATGAAAAAAAAAGAAAAAAGAAAACTTCAAACGAGTAGCAACTAAATTTTATTCAAACTAAAAGGAAGTAAATTAATAAATTAAAAATATAAAGGCATAAAAATAAATACAATAAAATTACAAGAATAATATATTGACACAATGAAAACCATAAAAAATATACAATATATAAAAACACAAAGAAAAAATGGATTAAAATGTGTTATAGAAGTTAACATTGAGTTAATAAAATTAAATCATTACTCGATAAAATAAGTGAAAACAAATATTTTTTAAAACGAATTTGAGTGAAGTGCTTTACTAAATTGTTTTTATTCCAAAAGCAAATTGTTTGTTTGTTTTTAAAATCCACAACCCATCTCCAGGATGGTTCTTTAGTCTCTCATGTCTCTTCCAAATTAACAACACTATTTCAATTTCTAGACTAAAGAGGTATTTCTGAAAATACCAAAATTATTTCTTTTTAAAAGGTTGTGAGTCCAAGTTTTATAGCACCGTCGGCACATAATCTCAATAAATTGAGTTAACAAATTGGCATAAAAGAAAAATAACAATTTAAATTGTATTGGCCAATTGCATTTGAATATACATCTGAAAAATAAATAGCTAGTGATACATATTAAATATAAAAGGGTTTGTTTTTTTTTTTTTTGAAGATATATTTTTTAAAAGTTTTTAATTCACGCTGCATTTCCTCTTGATAGTGTTATAAAGACACTGCATGAGATTGATACTCTATTGTATTCTCTCTACTTGAAACAAATTGTTAGGTTTTATTTATTTATTTATTTATACATTTGTTTCAAAATATTTGTTTGGTTAAAATTTTTAATATTTTATTTTTAAAAATATTTTTATTTTTTAATAAAATTAAATTGAATAGATTTTCTCATTAGACAAAAAAATTAAAAAGTATTATTAAAAAATACTAATATGATGTTATAATTAATAAATTTGTTAAAATACGTGAAAGTAAAAAATATTATTATTTTAGGGATTGAAAAGTATGATGCAGACATAAAGAGACGGGAGGAGTTCGTAGAGTGGTATCCAAGAAAAATGAAGCAAGTGTGGAGGGATTGGAGCAACCCCTGATTTAAAGGATGCACGACTTTGAGTCAAAGGTTTACTTTGTTTTGAAGCCAGCTGAAAAACCGCGATACCACATGATGATACCGCTTTTGCTAGGCGGACCTGCGAAAGTTCGGTTCCCAAAAATATATCCATTGATTGTTCTTGGACTCACAGGCCGACATCTATAGACTTCATTTATATAAGAATATAGGTTATGCTTTTATGAACAAAAAATAAAAAATTGATTTTCACACAAATTTCACACTGAATTAATTAATTAATTACAACTTTAAGACATATCTCAATCTTCCTTTCAATTTTTTTTTCCGTATTGACGTGTAAATGTGGTCCAACTTTTCCATCTAGATTGAATGCTTTAAGAATTCATCTATGTTCTATTTTATTTTTTTCATACTGACCGAATATGATATGTTTTCAGTTATTTTTTTATTTGATTTAGGTATTTTATTTTCATAAAAAAATGTTATTTAGAGTCCATTTTTGTTTAGAAATTATGCTAGATTAATTAGTTTTTATTGAACTTGAATTGAACTTGTTGCCCTTATTTGTTTTGGACTTGGTTGGCCAAATATATTAGAGTTTCTTGTCCTATTGGCCGATTTTTATAATTAGCTTTTAAGCATCTTTATGTTCCATGGGGAAAAAACTTTTGATGCATTATTGAATAAACCTTCTAAGATTTTTGTCCAATTTGCATATCCTTATGTTTTGCTTAGGGTTCAAATTTTGGTATTCTTGACTTGATTAATCGAGTGGTGATATCAATCACTATTGACCTAGATTGTAGTGGAGTTATAAATTTCCTCAAAATCGATCTAAATTATGATTACTTTTGCTAGTGGTATTTAGATTGTTTGTTGATCGTGCTTAGGAGTTTCGATTAGCCTTGAATTAGAGATAATCGGATTCGACTTTGTTGGATATGTGGGCTTCGGCTTCATCAATTTTGGAGGAATAAGTTTCGACCATAACCTAAATTAGGATTACAGCCTTCAACCTTAACCTAATCATCACAACAATGATGTCAACTTGGTATTAGAGCAAGTGGCTGAGAGTTTTAGAGTGAAAAAAGGTGGTTCCAAGAAAAAATTCCTTCCATCCTTTCCAGAGTGAAGAAGAAGATTTTCATGGAAAAAATCCCTTCCATCCCTTACAAAC